AGGGGGACGAGAACTGCAGGACGTGCGCCTAGGGCGACGGTTCTTTTGGAGAAACTTTTTAGATGCAGGCGACGAAAGAAGTAATTCAAGATGCCAGAACACACCAAGTCCATCCACAGTTGATCTTCGTTCTCCTTGAAGCTGTCGGACCCAAGTGATGTATTTTTTGGGGTACAATTTTTTCGGATACAATTTCAGAAACTGCACTATGATAATATTTTTTTTAATATTCTTGAAAATTGTCTGTCATGAAGTAAGAACCCTTCATTGTGAACAAAACTCCATTGGTAAATGCCCTTAGCAATCCTCCTTCAACCAGGAACTGACTGATCCCCAAGTCCATTGTTCTTTGCCCTCACAACCGCAATTCACCCTCTTGGTGCCACGGGACCATATATGGTCCCTCACTTTTCACACCTGCATAGTGCTAAGGGACCACATATGGTCCCGAGAAAATGCCCTTTGTAAACTGTGAATTTAGATATCAAACCCTAAAGTGCACAAAGTCAAAATTATAACCATCATCACCCCAATCATCTTAGCTTTAACATCGCGCAACTCATACTTTATACAATGCTACGGATTGCGAAATATGGAGAGATTAGTAAAGTGGCTACCGCTCTTCTTCGCCTTTCTCTGCCATGTTTGAACACCAAGCGAATGACGGCGAATTTTGATTATGCACCCATGTCACATGCACGTAAATATTTTCAGACAAATCCTTGTTCATAAGAAATAATATGACCAGAGTGGTAAGAATACATGTTTCTCACAACTGTATACTTACTCACGTAAATGAATTTCTGTTCACTCCTTTACGAACAAGTTTATTTACACGTTTTGTATACTTTTTTTGACTATCGGTAATGGCGGAATGGTCGGTACACATGAGAAAACGACAGTGTATATTTCCAATACATTCATTGAATGAAATTATAACCATCATCACCCTAATCATCTCAGCGTTAATATCGTGTAACTCATATTTTATGCAGTGCTACGGATTGCGAAATATGGCGAGATTAGTAACGTGGTTACCGCGCTTCTCGATCTTTTTCTGCCATGTTGAACTTCATGCGAATGAAGGCAATTTGTTATTATGCACCCATGTCACATACACGTAGCTATTATCATATCAGATAGCCAATTTGAAAAAGAAATCTGATCGGACTGGTCAGAAAGATTTACTTGTCCCCACTGTACAGTTATTGGCGTAAGAGTACTAACGTTTAGTCGGCCACGGAAGTTTTTTGTTCAAGTATTGCATATGTTTATCGACTGTGTGTCACGGCGATTTAGCACGGCGCTTGAGACGAAACGACAGTGCAGATTGTCTTTTTGTTTATGATGCTGATTTACATAAAATCTTCAAATCAAAGATATGGAAAAATAGCTATGGTCGTTAATATTAAGGTGGTATAGTGTATTTTTATGGGCAGGAAGTTCATGATCAAAACCAAACATTGAACGGCCAAGCCCGAAGTGATCGAGAGGGCACGTTCGCATCATATCTGTCCCGCGATTTCTTGTCTACCGGTTGTCCTACATGCTCGCCCGTTTAGACAAATAACTGCTACTTTTTTCAAATCAAATGACATGTGTGATTGCTCAAACTACCTGCCCGTGTGAGTGACTTGCCCTAACTGTTTAACATTTTGTCGCAAAAGGAGATTTCAAAAGGGTGGCCACGACATCTAACGTGAGTCGACGCCATATTGTAAACAAATTGTGTCAAGGTCGGTTCCACATGTGGTAGCTCGGCCCCTGTTTCTGTCGATGGTACACGCGATACAAACATAATGCAACTACTGAAAACATAATCATAACTTCTACAATGATGACAGCAATACCTTTTTGTGCATTTGGGTTTACCGCTTATGGATACGATGTGCTGTAAAGTTCGATTTGGATTTGTTTTTCCTTTCATTGTAACTGTGATAATGGCGCTATGATTAGTTTGCTGAAATAGTATTTTCCATGAGTCTAATGTACATGGTACATGCTGTGATTGTAGAAGATAATTGATTACCAATTGTGTATGCATTTATATCATCAAATACACATTACTAATCTCTTCAGAAATTGGAATATATTATCATAACACGACAACTCGTATTTCCAACATTCTGCCATGGATATTAGATCTAATATAAATATTAGATTTACACATGATTGATATACACTGTACTCTCGATTAACGTATGATAATCTATTGCAAGTCTTCAACTCTTATTTGATATGTTATCTGAAATGTCAGCAATGAGTAAACTTTATTTAATTCGTTACAATCTGCAATTTTACCACGTTTGTGAAACCCCCGAGTACATTCATGTCATATATCTTCAGGGAATTGTTATTATATACTTTAACTACTGTTTTTGCAGTAATATTTTTACCAAAGACATTTAAGATTTATGTTTTGTTGCCCACCATCTCGATAGAAATAACACCTCTATGGCTTCGTAGCCGCAGTGGTTTCAGAGAAGACGACGCACACCCCACACTTCATGGCCAACGACATACAATCAGACCATGACAAAAGCCAATATGCTCTTCGGACAGATTATACAAAAAATAGAATCAGAAAAGATTAATCTTTTCAAAGGTGAGCCCGTTCAGCTTCAACGAGGTTCCTCAAGCCATTCATAACGCTTCTCCATTAAAGGGGTCGGGTAGGCTAGTGGCGGCGTAAAACCATACTCATCCAATCTCCATGAAAGGTTTAATCCCGTGTGTGTGTGCGTGTGTGCGTGCGTGCGTGTTCGTGTGCCCGTGTGCGTGTGCCCGTGTGTGTGTGTGTGCCCGTGTGCGCGAGCACATACGTACATACCGATGTAAACTTGTAGTCATAAATTGTTATTTACCTGTTAAATTGCCTGTGACACTCATCTTACGCTTGGTGGTGTAGAGGAACTTGGGTGTGATTCCTGGGTTATCCCATGGACATACATGTCTTTTTTCATTTCCATCTATAACCACCATCCACATCAAATCTTCGGGGCACGAAATGTAATCGTGAATGATCGCAAAACGACGAGCACTTGGGTGTCTGTAAAGAATGTTTTCGAGGATGTGTTAGTTTAGAAGTTGTGACGAATAGACGACCACTGGGAAGCTGTTACAGACTGTTACTTACACAAATATAAAACGTCAATGCCAGGGAATAACCAGACTCGCTTATCCGGGCTTCGTGAAAAATGTAAGCATATCCTGCTCTACAGGTACCACACAATTTGCATAAGAAGGCAAAATCACAATTCAATCCGGACCGAATCGATCTCAAATAAATCGTTCAGTTTAACAGATTTCCCGATCAACGAACCATGGCTTCCTTTTATGATATAACGCCCAAACAGAAAAGGCACGATTTCTGGACTAACCGGGTTTCGCTGTAAACATAATTAACCATAATGCACCCCGTTAAGATCAGGGTTAGATATGGTCTCCAGCAACCCATGGTTGTTGTTAGAGGCGACTACCGGGATCGGGCGGTCTGGCTCAAATACACAATGTTTGTTTGTTTGTTTTTTGTTGTTAACGCCGCACTTAGCACTATTCCAGCTATATGTCTGGAAATAATCGATTCTGGACCAGACAATCCAGTAAATGACATCATGAGCATCGATCCACGCAATTGGGATACGATGATATGCATCAACCAAGTCAGCGAGCCTGACCACCCGATCCCGTTAGTCGCCTCTTACGGCAAGCATGGGTTGCTGAAGACCTATTCTGCACCGGATCTTCACGGGCCGCACACACAATGTACTTGTACTTGATCTGATATGACAGATTTGGCAAGTAATCAGGAAAGCATCTTCCAGAGGAAAGGGCGTTTAATGACATTAAAAGTCCAGTTTCCACCGCTGCCGAACAAGGCTGGTATTATGGAGTTACATTTTGGCTGGACTAACGAGTCTGTGCATAGTCCAATCACAATCGCGAAACAAAATCATAATCCGGTTCGTAAACGGTCATGCAGATTTCGGTCAATTGCAGGATTTGCAAAGCATGTGCATTGCCAACTCGTTGTCAACAGATATTTTCCAAATCTTTTAATGTTTTTAATCAAGGTGCTCATGTGATTTGTTACACTTCGCGATGTAAGACCCGTTTTATCACAATATAGATCTTTATTATCGATCAGATCGTCTTGACAGGGCGCCGCCATTTTGTTTGAAGTAAATGCAAGTGACACGAGAGGTGGAATCTGATTGGTCAATAGGAGAGGCATAAAGGGACATAACTCGTAAAAGCCACTGGTGGCGCTACGATCGAGCCCAGGAGTTCAAGCCTAGTTCGGCAAGGTCGGAAAGTGGACTTTTATAGTCAGTTAACTCCCTTGCCTCGGGAAGATGTCAGGAAATCAGCATTACAGAAAATACTTCCATATACGTTTACGTCATCGAGACCATTTTACTATTTTCGGACTGGTGATGACACGTTGTGTCGTCACTGATTTTCAGCAATCCATTGCTATAATTTAACATCCGTTTTCCTTTTACGCCCAATGGAATCTAATTCGACGGATAATCGAGACTGATTCTTCTACTTCTGGGCATTTCTTATTACATTCTAATTTCATTCATTTATTTTGTATTTGCCCTTATACTCAATGGGGGGCACGGCTGGCCCAGTCGTCTAAGGCGCCGCGATTTGCTTTGCAGAGTTGCGTCCCTTGGGCACGCCAGAAACCTATGATTGTGGGTTCGAATCCCGGTTCGCCCCAATTATGTTTCTTGGTTTGTCAGCACCATACCCGTGCTCGTGGGTTTCACCGAAGTGGTAAACGTCTGAGACCTGCATCACTTCGGGCTTTCCTCCCACATTAAGCTGACACGCCGTGATATAACTGGAACACTGTTAAAAGCGGCGTTAAACCCAACTCACTCACTCACTCATTATATTCAATGTATAATTGACCTTACGGAAACACGAATACGATACGCAATTTAGTTCAGGAATTGTTAATAATGTGTGAACATCCATTTATCGACTACCTACCCCTTGATACTGAAATATTTGAAAGTTGACTTTGTGAGATCCGTCCATGTGGAATTGATCACTCTATTCGGGGAAAACCAGGACATCTTGTTGGTACCAGTTCCATTAAAGATGATTTCACTTCGAACACGACTGTTCTTCATCAGAACAACCTTCACCTGAAAAACAATATTGTTTACTGATAATGTTGCAAGAAAAATGTTACTTGCCACACGCACACACACAAATGAATCGGGTGATCATGCTCGGTGACTTGGCTAATTTTTCTCTCATCATGCCGCGATCACACGCATCATTGCTCTACATTCGATAGTCTGGCGGGGGCCTTGGGTATTGTACAAGATTTTTTTTTCAGCTACAGCAGATATTTTTCACATTAAAACTTCGGGCCTAAATATTTAAAAAAACCCATTGCAACAATGCATTTTTTGGCATACAGTGTATTTTTTAAAACTATGAAGCAAAATTGTTTTATAAAGTATTTTCTGGGACAATGTCATTTTTTCACCATCGAAATATTAAATGATCGGTACCTCAGTGACTAGTCTGTTTGGCCTAGATTCCATACTACACAAGGTGCTATGATATGGGGATATATTCCTGATGGCGTTTAACAAAAATCCCCAAACTAATTATGTCTACGTATGTACGTGTGCGTGATGTGTTTGTGAAAAAAAGCACACGTCAAAAAACAACTATTAAATGTTAAACTATTTCTCAAATTTACTTTTTTTTAAACTTTTTGGTTTGCTTGTTGGTTACGCCGCAGTCAGCAACATTTAAGCTATACTACGTCGATCTGTAAATAATCAAGTCTGGGCCGGACAATCCAGTGATTGACATTATGAGCATCAATCGTATTGGGATACGATTTTTTTATTTGTTTATTGTTTAACGCCGCACTCAGCAATATTCCAGCTATATGACGGCGGTCTGTAAATAATAGAGTCTGGACCAGACAATCCAGTGATTGCATTATGAGCATCAATCGACGCAATTGGGATACGATGACATGCATCAACCAAGTCAGCGAGCCTGACCACTCGATCCCGTTAGTCGCCTCTTACGACAAGCATAGTCGCCTTTTACGGCAAGCATGGGTTGCTGAAGACCTATTCTACCCCGGATCTTCACGGGTCATTGGGATACGAAAACATGCCTTAACCAAGTCAGCGAGTCTGACAACCCGATCCTGTTAGTTGCCTCTTTCGACAAACATGGGTTGCCGAAGACCAATTCTAACCCGGATCTTCACGGGTCCTTCTATAAATGAAAGGGGGAAACTGGCAAAGGTGAGTCAAACTTGAATAGTTCATCATTAAAACGAATACGATCGTTAATATTGCTTTGAATCCTGGCCCATATCCGTGCGTACAATGCTGTTTGTGCAATATACTAGATATGTACGTACCAGCTGTACACCAGCTGTTTCCCACGTAGTGACAATCTTGCTTCTGAAATGATTATCACAAGGACGAGATGTGTTGGATGAGAAACAGCCAGGCTTCAGTCGAGGTGGTAGGAGTGGCTGGTCGTGGTAGACGGCGTCGTACAACCATGCTGCGTAGATGGACGTCCTTGTGTCACTCCGGGCCCTGAACACCACTGTCCATCCGTCCCAGGTCAACACATCTGTCAGGTCATATACAATATACAATTTTTACAGCGCACAGGTCACAAATCAGGTGAAGTTAAACAACGTTTCTCGCGGAGAGTCCTTGTGGACGTGTTCGGGAGCTTGGCTCTTGAGCGTTTCCAGACCCGTGAAGATCCGGGGTAGAATAGGTCTTCAGCAATCCATGCTTGCCGTAAAAGGCCGCTATGCTTGTCGTAAAAGGCGACTAACGGGACCGGGTGGTCAGGCTCGCTGACTTGGTTGATACATGTCATCGATCCCAATTGCGTGGATTGATGTTCATGATGTCAATCACTGGATTGTCTGGTCCAGACCCGATTATATACAGACCGCCGTCATATCGCTGCAATATTGCTGAGTGCGGCGTAGAACAACAAACCAACAACAACAACATTTGAGAGTTTCTAGAGCGTCGGTCCTGCTTCACACTGAAGCACATAGCATATGTTGCGCATGTGGGTTCTCCTTGGGCAAAGGACTTTGCTAGAAAACATGACAAATTGCAGCGCCGGGGGGTGGGGGTGTTAGTTTGAGATCAGCAGGAGCTCAATTCTTTTTGTCATAATATACATGTGCTTAATTATATTATATGAAATAAATATAGCAATCGAACCTGTGAAGTCGGTTCTGTTGGAGCAGTGAGAAAAGACTGGATCGTGGCATTGGGACGCACTTCAGTATTTATTTAATTTTAAACCCAAATATGTCATGTTCTCAATCCTGTTACTGAAGTACATTTTGTTTCGACCCGTGAAGATCCGGGGTAGAATAGGTCTTCAGCAATCCATGCTTGCCGTAAAAGGCCACTATGCTTGTCGTAAAAGGCGACTAACGGGATCGGGTGGTCAGACTCGCTGACTTGCTAGATGCATGTCATCGTATCCCAATTGCGTGGATCGATGTTCATGATGTCACTCGTCGCTATATTGCTGAAGCAATGCCGATGCGACGTTAAGTTTTAACTCACTCACACTCATGATGTCAATCACTGGATTGTCTGGTCCAGACTCGATTATTTACAGACCGCCGTCATATAGCTGGAATATTGCTGAGTGCGGCGTTAAACAACAAACAAACAAACAAACAACAATTTGTTTCACCTTCTGGTTTGCATAGGTGCGCTTTATGAAAGTATGGTTACTCAATAGGTAGGTATGCTACAAGATTTCTTCGCGTTGTGTTGATCCTCTGGATCATAGTTATCGTGTATAGTATAGATACATTTCTTTACAAAATCCTACCTGATTTTGGTTCCAAGTAAACCCAGTCGTTACTTTCCATGAATGTTGCATTGCCATCGTATAACTTCACATTGTGTAGTTCGCAAATCCCCTCAGTTTTACTAAACGAAGCACTTGCGCAATATGACGCCAGACAGTGCCTGAGACACCATATCGCAGACCATGTGGTAGGTTTATAGCCCACAGTCGACATAGGTGGGTTCGTCAAACGATATCCACGGGCCACTGAATAAAACTGCTGTCGTTTTTCTGCTGCAACCATAACCATGAGGAATAGCAGCTGCATTAAAGAGAGTTGTGTCTTCATTGTAACAAATTGTGTTATCGTGGCCAGATAGATATTACCAATGTTTACAGGCAGAAGCTAATCACTGGTGATGTTATTCTGCTTAAACATATGATGAAGATGTTTTTGTTCCTTAAAATGTTACACTCCCGCGAGTCCTTTTACCCGTCGGCTCCACACTCCGTCGAAAGAATGCATACACGATATGCTGGTTGCATTAATAATTTCAGGGAAGGAACGTGGGATGATTGATCCATGCAATGTAGGCGTCTAGGATTAATTTTGCTAAAGCTACTGGAAGTTACAGCCGAAGACGTTTAACAATATGATATCCATGTACAATTATCTCAGTTTATACAGAACGCAAAGAAACAATAACCATTTATTGATAAAATGTTATTTTCCAATCCCGCTGACCATACAAATGTGCTTTTCTTTCACTGGGTTGTTATGCGAGTTTTAATGACGTTAACATGATTCGACATGACTAGTCACGGCTCAAAGTGAGTTTAGAGTACCTGATTAAATGTTTTACAAGTATGTACAAGTTTAACACCCGTGAAGATTCGGGGTAGAATAGGTCTTCAGCAACCCATACTTGCCGCAAAAGACGATTATGCTTGTGGTGAAAGGCGACTAACGGGATCGAGTGGTCAGGCTCGCTGACTTGGTTGATGCATGTCATCGATCCCAATTGCGTGGATTGATGCTCATGATATCAATCACTGGATTATCTGGTCCAGACTCGATTATTTACAGACCACCGTCATATAGCTGGAATATTGCTGAGTGCGGCGTTCGAATCCCGACATGGGTACAATGTGTGAAGCCCATTTCTGGTGTCCCCCGCCGTGATATTGCTGGAATATTGATTAAAGCGGCGTAAAACCAAACTCACTCACTCCTTTCATTGCAAATTGTGTGTGGCGGGTGCTGCTGGTAGGGAAGGACAAGGTGATCTTTTTTCGCGGACACCTAGTGTCATAAATGATTTTCAGTGATCTATTCATATACTTTCACCGCTGTTTGTCGTTTTATGCCCAATGCAAATCAACCAAACAGTTACGAAATACCACAATTGCACACCATGTTTCAGTTTCACGGGTGAAACATATTTATTTGTTGTCCACGCCGAGTGAAATCTGTCTGCCCACTGAGAATAGTTGGTTGGTTGGTTTGTCGTTTAACGCCGTACTCAGCAATATTCCAGCTATATGACGGCGGTCTGTAAATAATCGAGTCTGGACCAGACAATCCAGTGATTAATATCATGCAGTTGGGATCGATGACATGCATCAACCAAGTCAGCGAGCCTGACCACCCGATCCCGTTAGTCGCCTTTTACGGTAAGCATGGTCTAGACTCGATTATTTTACAGACCGCCGTCATATAGCTGGAATGTTGCTGAGTGTGGCGTTTAACAACAAACAAACAAAACAAAACATTTTTCTCCAGTTCCTAAAACCGAATACATGTAACAACAAATACAGCAACCTGCATTTCATGGGATCTTCAGCAACCCATGATTGCCGTAAAAGGCGACTATGCTTGTCGTAAGAGGCAACTAACGGGATCAAGAGGTCAGGCTCGCTGACTTGGTTTGATGCTTGTAATCTATCCCAATTGCGTGGATCGATGATCATGATAATATTCACTGGATTGTCTGGTCCATACTCGATTATTTACAGGCCGCCGTCATATAGCTTGAATATTGCTGAGCGCGGCGTCAAACAACAAACCAAACCATCCTAGTGTCAAATACTCTGCCTTGATACTGTTCGCACGTTCTACTGCTCTACAACTTCTCAAAGAACGTTTGCTACGTGATCTACAAACAAATCTGAAAGTATTGTATTTTACAATAACTTCATCGAAATGTTATCCATTAAGAATTTAACTTAATGTCCAGGATAAAGTTCATGCTGCTTTACATTGCTATTAAGTGAAACTTGAAACAAACTCTTTTCCAAACTGTTCTGTGTAATGGCGACTTACACAATGGTAAACGTAAATGTCATATTTCATTAAAAGAATCTGATGATAAATTTGCATGTGCCCTTGTTTGAAGGATATGGCTGGCAAGCTTCCGTTCTCCACCGATGACGACAAAGGTAAACACTCAAGCCATAGACGACTTCGTTGCCCTAAAATCCAGACGGGGGCACGGGTGGCCCAGTCGTCTAAGGCGCCGCGATTCGCTGTGCAGAGTTGCGTCCCTTGGGCACGCCAGAAACCTATGATTGTGGGTTCGAATCCCGGTTCGACCCGATTATGTTTTTAGGTTTATCAGCACCATACCCGTGCTCGTTGGTTTTACCGAAGTGGTAAACGTCTGAAACCTGCATCACTTCGGGCTTTCCTCCCACATTAAGCTGACACGCCGCGATATAACTGGAATACTGTTAAATGCGGCGTTAAACACAACTCACTCACTAAAATCCAGACATCAGTTGGCAACCTAGCAAATAATAATTGATTTTAATGTAGAATGATTAATTAAGTCACTGCCACATATTCACCAAGAACACAGATAAAATGATTAAATTGAAAATAATACCTTCCTTGTTAATTCTTATGTGATTTCTTGAAACATTAAAAAGTCTTATTCATGAGAATAAATCTGACAACTAAATAATAAATGATAATTTCTTAAAACAGTTTTAATGCTCGTAGTTTAATGTTCGTCGAACCATTCAATTAAAAACGTAATCGTTCTGCTTTCGCAAAATCCCTCTTCAGAATAAAAACCTCGGAAAACTCCTGTTACCCGATATCGTGGATCAAAGGGATGTGAACTCTCTGTAAACTCTAGAGTGTCGACAATTCTGAACGGATGCAAATTTTGTGTGATATATCTGGCGTTATTTTCTGTGATAATAAGTGCATGAGTGAGTGAGTTGGTTTTTACGCAGTTTTTAACAGTATTCCAGTTATATCACGGCATGTCAGCTTAATGTGGGAGGAAAACCCGAAGTGATGCAGGTCCCAGACGTTTACCACTTCGCGTAAACCCACGAGCACGGGTATGGTGCTGACATACCCCTTCGTTTTTTGGTTGGTTGATTTGGTTGGTTTGTTGTTTAACGCCGCACTCAGCAATATTCCAGCTATATGACGATGGTCTGTAAATTATAGTCTGGACTAGACAATCCAGTGATCAATATCATGACCATCAATCCACGCAATTGGGAGCGATGACATGGATCAACCAAGTCAGCGAGCCTGACCACCTGATCCCGTTAGTCGTCTCTTACGACAAGCATTGTCGCCTTTTACGGCAAGCATGGGTTGCTGAAGACCTATTCTACCCCGTATCTTCACGGTTCCTTTGTTTATTTTTCGTGATGCAGGCATTGTCGCAGTGTTTCCAATTTCAGAAGAGATTCAGGCAACAGAGTGAGTGAGTGAGTTACGATTTAAAGTCACATCGGCAATATTCCAGCCACATAGTGACTAAATCAAGTTATATATAATACATATAGACATTAAAATCTGTCCACAAAGGACAGTAAAAACACTAGACTATCACAGATGTAGATTTAAAACTAGCATGTTACCATAAAAATCTGACTATTCTTAACAATACATTAATATATAATTGGGCTAGAGATCACCATACTAGGGACCATGGGGACTTATGGTACATCTGCTTCCTGCATGGTACCCCGGCAGGATTTACACCATCCCTCTGGCTACTGGTGTTTGCCAGGAAGTTCAAGCCAAAGCATTTAAAACCAACAAGTATTCTACGATTAAAATCAAAGAGAGATGAAAAATACTTCGAATAAAATGGGACTTACGTACCCTCGCAGTTGGACAATTGTTTTACGTTACTTCAACCCCCTTTGAAGGTACAGCCACCAACAATCTCAGTTATTAGTTCATTCTTCCAAATTAATAAATCTACTTTTTACATAAATACATATCAAAATTTATCAATCAACACTATTTCTTTTAGAACCAAGAATTAAACGAGAACTTATGTTAAAAAGATCCTGTATGAATGAAACCCTAAAAATAGTTATCCCTTGTGATGGGAAAAATCGATACAGTCAAGCAGGACATGCTTGACTGTGATTCTTTCATCACAAGGGACACAGAATGGAGGATCTTCACCTTTCAATAAATACTCATGTGTTTAGCGCGAATGGCCAATACGACATCGTCGCATAATGACCTCTTCAAATCTGGACTTACAACCTAAGTAGTAGTTGTGGTTTATTTAAGTAAATCAGGTCACAGGCCCATTTTACAATATATATTCAAGCATTCAAACATGTTGCGCCAGAAGTGCATGTAGTAATATCAATACTAATCAGTATAAGTGTATCTGAGACCATATACATGTACATATGATTGTGGAATTAATAGTTTATATAATGGACAACTGCTTGCTCCTCATTTTAAGAGCAAAGAATGTAAACTTGGCAAGATTATTGATTGTGAAAGCATTACTGGTGGTAAATAAAACTTTACATTTATGCTCTGATGGAGATGTACAATAATAACTTGGCAGAAAGTTTCTTCTAAGATCGTCATAAAACGGACAAACTAAACAAACATGGTATTCTGTTTCTACATTTGGAAGGATACAAAATGGACAAAGTCTTTCACATTTTGGAATACCTAACTTTCTACCCTGTGATACCATAAGATCACTGCTCGACGTGCGAAACTGTGAGAGAGTAATCCTAAATGCAGCAATATTCACAACACTTAAATAATTTTCAGATTCATTTGATAGCTTAATTCTT